TTCTTTCTTTCTTTCTTTCTTTCTTTCTTTCTTTCCTTTTCTTTCTTCTTTCCTTCTTTCTTTCTTCCTTCTTTCTTTCTTTCTTTCCCCCCTAAAGCAGATGTACCTAGTCAATACAATTTGAAAACAGGCCCGTTATTCATTAAAGAAAACGAAAGGAAAAGAAAAAGCGAGTGACAGATGCGTCGCTTGCAAGCTTGCAAGGTTTCTGTCCAGAGGTGAATTTCGGTAGCAAAACCTCCGGGCTTTGATTCTTCGCGCCCCTCCAGCCGTGTCCCTGTCCGCTGCTGGGCTTGGCCATAGGGATAATCTTTGCACCAGTCCTTGGCCCGTCTTAAGCGACGCAAACAGTAGTAAAAGAGACCTTTCTTAGGGAGTCGCCCGATCCCTCCCGTGCGAAGCTGGGAACGAAACCTCCAAAGTGGCACAGTTAAATATCGCACTTATTTTCAAACGTTTTCTTCGGTCCCTGACGATTGTTTAGGATTAAATTGCGAAGGGTTAAAACGAGAAAATAATAATAAAATAACGGTATTTCCTTTTAAAATTGGTAGTGGGTGGGTTTCTTCCTCGCCCGTGAAATTTGCTAACCGGTGTGTTACTGTGTCTCCATGAGTCTAATTTGAGTAATAAATACAAAGGAAGGAAATTCGATTGATTTCGCCTCCAAAGGTGCCTTTTATTTTGGCCCCCTTTCTTCACGAGCGAACACCGAAACGGGCCCTAAAAACGGGGGTCTGCCCCGCGGCTATAAAGAAAGGACTCCGGATACAGCGCAGACCGGGCACTTTTTTGTGTGTGTGTGTGGGGGGGGACACTCCAAGCGGAGCCGATCTGATTTGAACGGCAGCCGCACTGATCGCAGGGGGCACGCGCGGGTCCCTGGTTTGGTTTGGTTTTGCTTTGCGAAACAAAGTGAGCGCGAGGAAGCAAAAACTTTGGGTTCGCTCAGTTTGGCAACCCAAACCCTGAAGGCCTCCTGACTCCAGTCCAAGGCTTTGCCTCGGAGGTTTTATAGTGGCCCGTGGTCGCGATCCAAGAAAACGGGAGCGCGTTTTAAGGACGAGCCACCCGGGGAGAGAAAAAGCCCCCCCCCCTTTTAAAAATTCCTCCGTCCTTCCTCGGCGCGAGGGGGTCTTTTTATACGCTCAAGCAAATAAAGACTTTGGATTTCTGCCGACTGCAAGGTGCATCCTCGCGCCACCCTTCTTCCAAGACCAAAGCCCGCGCGCTGAGGGGGTGAAGGGCGGGGACAGAGGGGGCGAAGGGGTCCCGGGCATTTCGACGGGAGAGTCCATTAAAGCGCCCGCGAAACCCCCTCGCCTGGAAATCAATAGAATGCGGTTGGAGGGTTTGGGTGTCGGCTAAATTTCTCTTCGGTTGGGCCTGAGGGTTCCTCCCCCCCCCCACACACACACTTCCAAGGAAAGGTGGCAAGTCTTTAGCGCTCTGGCTAGGATAGAGGCAACAATTCCGGTAGCTGATAGAAGCTTCCAAGTATAAGAGCGAGTGGGATTTGTTTTACACTTTTATCAGTATATAGTATATCATTTTATCTCCCCCTCCATCCCTCCTCCGAGCTCCGAAAACTAATAAAAGACCTCTTAAAAACCAGGAGCTTGGCCTAAGTCGCGGTGGATCCAGCCTTTCCAAATATTTGACAAAGTAAACTAACACTTCCCCAAGTTTCAACAGGCTCGTCCGGCGCCTTTCACAGGTTTCTGCGGGACGGTTCTCTCTCCCTCCTCTTTGCGGGGGGGGGGGGGGGTCTTTTTCATTGGAAAACAAAAAAACGGAGGCGAATGGCTGGGTTTCCCCCCCCCCCCCCGCCCTTTCCCCTCTAAGCCTAACTCCCAACCTTGTCTCAAATGCGGGTCTTTTATTGGCTTGTCTGAACCTCAGAATGAGACCAGAAGGCAAGCAAGCATTTCGTTTATTGCCTTCAGTGCGCTAAGGGATGCCTTTCAGAGCAAATCAGAATTAAAACGAAGTTTAAGGAAACAAGGTTTGGTAGGAAGTGTGTGTGTGTGTGTGTATTTGTTTGTGTGTTGCTGGGGGGCGGGGTGGGGTAGAGAACCAGTCTGACCCAGCAAGAAAGACTTCGGGCCCTGTCTTTGCGGTGCGGAGGAAATGTTCTCTCGTTAGCTCGCATACTAAGGAGCGATTTCCGGACTTGACACTCAAGTTTAAACTGCTGGGAAATCCAGATTTTGAAAGGCGGCAGAAGGGCTTCGAGTCCAATCCGGTGCCTCCCAGAAGTGTTGGGCGCGGATTGTCCTATAGCCCCGGCCAGACTGGTTTGAGGATTATGGGAATTGACACCCAACATTTCTGGAGGTTCCCAGAACAGCCGCGACTGCATTACTGTACTCGCGAATGGCTGTTTCTGCACAGAATTTCTGTACGCCTGAACTTCTGTCGCTAAAGCCAATCTACCTCCTGTCCATTGGGCTCAAGGGAGGGCGCGGTGGCTAACCAGGTCCTTTCGCCTAGCTTTGTCTCTTCCCTCTCCCTGGCTGCCAGGAACACCTGCAGCTCCTGCCAGGGAAGATCTGAGTTGTCCTTTTCAGCTCTCAGGACCATCTTCAAGCCCAGGCCAGCTTTTTCAG